ACCACGTTTAGGATTGGATCTTCGAGCACATAGGCGGTGCGTGATGCCGGAGTAAGGAAACGTTTTTTGGGTGAGCGCGATCAGGGCTGTGATCGGGGCCCGCCGTGCCACCCCGTAAGATTGCAGGACGCCATCATCTCTGCAGGTATTAAAACGACAAACAGTCCTTTTATGTCGGCGACTTGAAGAGTCTGCAAGTTCACTAGCCACAAGACAAGCTCAGGTTCGACCGCAGTTGTGCAATGAATGTTTGTTGATTTATTATATTTTAATTCGTATTATTTTATTTATAGCTTAGGTCTCCCTAGCCACTCATTCTGTTTTGCCTCTTCTCCATCTAGTCATCGGCGCCCCAGTAGGTCGAACCGATCCAGGTTCATCACCTTGTCCCATACCGCCACGAAGTCCTTGACAAACTTCTTCTGTCCGTCTGCGCTTGCGTATACCTCCGCAATGGCGCGCAGCTCGGCCTGCGCGCCGAATATCAGATCAACCCGCGATGCTGTCCACTTCTTCTGGCCCGTCTTGCGATCGAATCCATCAAACGTCTCGTTGTTGTCAGCCCCCGTCGCCTTCCATTCTATGTTGACGTCCAAGAGGTTGACGAAGAAGTCGTTGGTCAGCTGGCCGGGCCGCTCCGTCAGCACGCCGAGGTCCGAGCCGTCGTACGTGGCGCCCAAGACGCGCAGGCCACCCAGCAGTACCGTCAACTCGGGGGCCGACAGCCCCAGCAGCTGTGCCTTGTCGATCAACAGCGCTTCCGCCTTGACCCGGGGCGTCGATTTGCCGTAGTTTCGGAATCCATCGGCAACCGACTCGAGGTGACCGACGGATTCCACGTCCGTCTGCTCTTGCGAAGCGTCCGTTCGTCCGGGCGTGAAGGGGACCGGAACACCGGACGCCGCCTCCACTGCGCCCACGCCGGCCAGGACAATCAGGTCGGCAACCGACACCTTCTTTGGTGCGTTTGCCGCGTTGAAGCGCTCCTGGATTCCCTCCAGAACCGGGATGATCTTGTGCAGCCGCAAGTTCTTGTTCACCGCCCAGTCACGCTGGGGGGACAGGCGGAGGCGACCACCGTTGGCGCCACCGCGCTTGTCGCTGCCGCGGAAGGTAGAGGCGGAAGCCCAGCCCAAAGCCACCAGATGGGCGGTGTCGAGCCCGATATCGAGGATTTCATGTTTCAGGGAAGCGACATCTTGCGCGTCGACGAGGGGGTGGTCCACGGCCGGGACCGGATCCTGCCAGATCAGTTCCTCCTTGGGGACCTCGGGGCCGATGTAGAGAGCCGCCGGGCCCAGGTCACGGTGCAGCAGCTTGAACCAGGCGCGGGCAAACGCGTCGGCGAACTGGTCTGGGTTCTTGAGGAATCGCTCCGAGATCTTCCTGTATTCGGGGTCCTTGATGAGCGATAGATCCGTCGTCAGCATCCTGGGCGGATGCTTCTTGCTGGGGTCGAAGGCATCGGGAATGATGGCTTCCACATTCTTGGCCTCCCATTGGTGCGCACCGGCTGGACTCTGGGTAAGCTCCCACTTGTCTTCGTACTTGAACAGGTACTCGAAGAACTGGTTGCTCCATTGGGTGGGCGTCTTGGTCCAGATGACCTCCAAGCCACTCGTGATCGTGTCCGGGCCCTTTCCGGAGCCGTGCGTGTTGCTCCAGCCAAGACCTTGCTGTTGAATTGGCGCGGCCTCCGGTTCGCCGCCTACGTGTTCCTTGGGGGCAGCTCCGTGGGTCTTGCCAAAGGTATGGCCGCCGGCGATCAAAGCAACCGTCTCCTCATCGTTCACTAGAATCAAATAAATCACCAGTCAGCGATGTTCAGGCACGGACGGGTACGGCAATAGTCGAAGAGAAACAAGGAGCCAAGACAAAGGCACGGCATCGAGGTGTGGCCGGCTAGCACGACTTCGCAACAATGCGCTCCAGTACTAACAGCAACAGTGTGTGGAGGGAGGCATGGGGCTGAGTTGAACCGTCGCTCAGGCATGACAGGGTGGTGGTGACTTACTTGCCATGCGGCCAAACGTATCACGGATGTCATGGGCTGCGGCGACAGGATCCGGAACGCCATCCGGCCCTTCGGGGTTGACGTAGATCAATCCCATGTGGGCAGCGGCCAGCGGGGTCTCGAGCTGGCCGGTGTGGATCTCGCCCTCGGGGTTCTCGTCCGAGGAGATGACACCGTGGCCGGCCAGACCGGCGCGGCCCTTGGCGTAGCGGATGTCGTTCCCCAGCCAGGTGTTCTCGCCACCCCAGTAGGGGACCTCGTCGGCCTCCCAGGTGTCCTCGCGGCCGCCGGCGAAGCCAAAGGTCTTGAATCCCATGGACTCGAGGGCGACGTTGCCCGTCAGCAGGAGCAGATCGGCCCACGAGATCTTGTTGCCATACTTCTGCTTGATGGGCCACAGCAGACGGCGGGCCTTGTCGAGGCTGACGTTGTCGGGCCAGCTGTTGAGGGGGGCGAAGCGCTGCTGGCCGGCGCCGCCGCCGCCACGGCCGTCAAAGACACGGTAGGTGCCGGCGCTGTGCCAGGCCATGCGGATGAAGAGGCCGCCGTAGTGCTGGAAGTCGGCGGGCCACCAATCCTGGGAGTCGGTCATGAGGGCGTGCAGGTCCTTCTTGAGCCCATGGTAATCGAGGGACTTGAAGGCTTCGGCGTAGTCGAAGTCCTTGTCCAGCGGGTTGGAGGCGGGGTTGGGCTGGCGGAGCACGTTCAGGCGCAGCTGCTCAGGCCACCAGTCGCGGTTCTTGGTGCCACCACCGGCGACATTGGCCTTGATGGGGCATTCGGACTGTGCCATGATGGTGGGCGGGGGAGCGTGGGGAGGAGCGGAAGCTGTTGTGGCACGAGCAGGCGAAGGGGGGTTGCGGGACAGGCGCGCGGGAACCGAGACGAGGGGGGGTGTGAGAGGGAGATGATGCGGCAGCAGGCTCTCTTATGATAGCAAGCCCACCGAGAGACAAAGGGAGGACGGACAGACGTACAGACGTGAAGAAAGAAGAGGAGCAGGAGGGAGCAGGAGGGATCACGACGGGCGACGGCCAACCCCGCACTTTATAAGCAGCAAGCAGCAGCAGCAGCAGCAGCAGCCGCAGCACACGCCATCGGACCATTCAGTGTGTGACGCTGGCCGCTCACCTCGCCACGGCTGGCTGGCCAGTCGGGTGGCTGGCGCCAGTGGCCTCATGTAGGTACGGCATCCCATGCCCATGCAGGCAGCATCCACGGTATGTACTTAAGGTATGGTCCATGGCGAGCGAGCGGGCAGGCAGGCGGGCAGGCAGACAGGCAGGCAGACCGAGTACCCGATACCTGATACCTGATACCTGATACATATGCGTACATACCTACTTACATACACGCGTGGCCCGCAGACCCTGAACCCGCCCATGGGTCAGTGGGACAGGGACCGGCACCGGGCGGCGCGTGTCTCGGTCCCCTGCTCGGAAGCGCTGGCGAGTGGGCGAGTGGACAAATTGGACGAGTGGACGGCCACCAGCCAAGTGCGGACGCTGCGCACCTCCCCCCATCCATCGTGTGTCTTGGAGCAACGCAACGACGCAACGACGCAGCGACGCAACGAACGACGGAGCGTCTGCTTGTACTGGTACAGGCATCGTCCCATCATCCCCTCGTCCCCTCGCCCCCTCGTCCCCTCGTCTCCGGGGCCCTCTGCAGAGGCGGCCCCATCCCGCGCCCACGCCCCTCCACGCAGCGCAGCGCAGCGCCACGAGAGACGACGGAGCGAGTCGTGGTCCGGGGGTTGTTCGGCAACTGTGGGTTTCTGGGCCACGCTCTGCCCGCGCGCGCCTGGGGGGCTCCTGGGCAGGCCACAGGCTGCATTGCCATTACCATTACCCCTCTTCTGCTGCTCGCCCATCGCGGCCGCGGCGCTCCATGATCGATCCATCACTCTCTCTCTCTCTCTCTCTCTCTCGGGGCGTGTCACGCCACTCCTCCCTCCCTCTACCTACCTGCCTACGTACTTACCCAAGATATCTAGTTAGATGGATACCTGTGTGTCTGGGATGTGGTGTGGTGTTGGCTGGCTCCGATGCATTCTCGGCACAAGCGTGTATGCACAGCCATTGCCGATGCCGGTTCGTCAGTCTTGTCTTGTCTTGTCTTGTCCTGTCTTGTGATGCTGCTGATGCTGGCTGGGAATGTCTCGGCCTCCTCTTCGCGTTAGGTAGCCATTGCGACGTGTGTAATTGGTTGTCTGCTATTCGTCGCACCATGGCCCACGCTAACGTCGGCCGGTGCGGGGTAGGTTAAGTAAGTACCTAACCTAAGGTAGTCCCTTCTTGGACAGTGACGTGATGTGACGGTGGGTAGGTCAAGTAAGTACCTAACCTTCTCCTATGCTCTATCTAGTCTACCTAGGTAGGTATCTACATATAGGTAGTGCTCTACTTGGAGGTACCTATGTTGTGAACTGGAACTGTGAACAGGTAGGTAGATACAACTGTGAGCCATGCGCGAGTCGCCCCCCCCGCCCCGGTGATTCCCGCACCTCCCGCACCCTCCGCACCCTCCGCATGACAAGCCCGCGCCAACTCCGAGTCTATGCCCGACCCGAGCAATCGACGAACAGAGGAATGCCGTTCGGATGCGAGATACGGTAGTCGCCAGATACGTAATTAGTACTTAACTAAGTAGGTAGTTAGTAGGACATCACTCATCACTTGCAGAGTGGGCGTAGTTATCATGGCGCTATCATTGGCGCTTATCTCAGCAACCAACCAAGCCGCTTGTAAGTTGGTCTTCATCCGCCCTCCTCCTCTCGGGGAGCTATCGGACATATCGTTACTTGTTTTCATTCTTTATTTATTCTCATTCTTCACTGGCATCACCCCGTCTACCTCACTCATCCTTGAGCGCCCAGATAAAAGATTTGGCCTTTTATGCAATTCTTATACCGGAAACGATGACATCCCATCCATCATGACCAAAAAAATAATTCAACAAATATCACCCACCCCATCGTTGATATTGACCTCGCTGGGGGTCGAACCCAGAATCTCCTGATTATCGCAAAGAACGTGTTTTCTCAACCCGTTCTCATCGTAGTCAGACGCCTTGCCATTGGGCCACGAGGCCAGCTCCATCAAGCTAGTTGGATATTCGTGGGGCGCTGTGCAGGCCTATACTGCTGCCACAAAACGAAGCCGTACTAGTTAGTGTAGTGTATAGTCCACGCTAAAAACTAAGTAAGTAGTTTTCGTGTCGTCTTGTCTAGCGAGTGGTTTCAACTGGGAAATTATTATGTACTGTCGAAGGATGATAAACAAGGCAGCTGCTTTGAAGCCGGCCTTGAGCTGGCGGCGACATGCTTGCGGGGCGAAACCGCTTGTTCACCAGCTTAATAGAAGAAAAGTGAACAGCTCATGGCCATAAATGGTATAACCAAGATCAGCAATTCGAGTGCCTATGTCATGTGCTTGAAGCCGGGGTCAGGACAGATTCCATAGCAACACCACAAACCCTGGGCTCAATAAACATGAACGACTTGCCAAGGCGTTCATTAAGCTGCGGGATCCGAGCGCTTCGACCTGCCGCTCTATAAGAATTACCCCATAGGTGCTTCAATGACGCCTGAGGTAATGTGAGCTAAGGGACGTCCCCCGATGGTCGCTGACATGGAGGCATTCGACATGGAGGCATTCGACTCGAAAATAGGACAGTTTCCTCAACTGCATAACTAAACCAACATACCTAATACTTGAGGAGCAGCGACTAACTAGCATAGCACGAACTCGAGCGGTATCGCTTGCCATTACGACAAGTCTTATGTATGTGCCTGGTATGTATCACGCTTCAAAGTCATCTACCTCAAGTTAAGAGTTGTTATCAAAAAGAAAGTCCAGCCTTACATTCAAGTCACTATAGCAGACATTGGGCCTTTGTGCAACTGTTGAGATACAATCATCAGACCATTTTTCATCGCATGCTGTTCTCCTTTTTAAAGATGACATAAAACATGGCGACAACAATGCAACACACCTCTGCATTCTGCTGCTAAGGAAATATATATATCCCCAGCAGCAAACCGTCACATTATTACTACATGCGAAGCGACTTCTTCACAGCCCTCGGTCCTGATGTGCTTTTCATTGGTAGCTAGACGCTCCTGGCTCTCCATGTTCTACGTAGGTACAAATCTAGAATTGGATCTCGGTTGAAAGCGGTAGGACGCCACCCGCCAGCGGCTAATATCAACGCGCTTCTACGCGACTCGTCCAATTCGTGCGTGTTCTAAACCAAGTCGAGGTAAACCCCCCCCCCCATCCGAGCGGGACAAGAGCCGGTTACGTGGTATTGGACGCTGCCGGTCGTGGGGTAATGGCCACAACTGCCGGGTCCCCCAAAGGGGTCATAGTAAGGTCATCACATAAAATCCCAATATACCCTTCGAGACAGCTATACCGCAACAGATGTTGTGTCTTTTGCCTGAAAGGGGAATTTTCTTTCAGGGTGCCAAAACATCCCCCAGGAGCTAGCTGCCGTCGATCTCTCAGACCATGGGGGCCCCTATGTATTTAGATGGCCGTCGCCCGGGATTCCCACCTGGACGAGTCCGTGATCAATTGTTCTTGGAATAAAAGCGAGGGAAAGAAGTCCTGGGAATCAAGCATGGCGAGTACTGCGAACCAACGGCCTCCCGAAGCCGGCCCTCATCTTGTCCACAGGTATGTCGGGCCCGGGCGCGTCCATCTCGTGTGGGATCGTGTTGACATGATGAGTCCAACAGCCATGCCCACGAAGGGGATATTCCGGGCACGGTCAATGTCAAAGCGGCGGGTCAGTAGCTTCGCTTGAAGGGTACAACCTCACCACAACTTGCTAATGCGCCGATAGATGGCGACGACACTGGTTTTGGCCAGGCACTCTTTCCAGTGCCGGCGGAGGACCCCAATGATCCTCTGCAGTGGTCGAGGTTCAAAAAGACCATGATCCTCCTCATCATCTGCATCTACTCGTTCCTTGGCAACTCGGCACTGCTGGGTGTCGGACCGTACATTACGCTCTGGTCCGAGGTGTTTGACGTCTCGCCGGCGGAAGCATCAGCTTTGATCTCTTATCCGAACCTGGCATATGGGCTCACATCATGGCTTCTGGTACCGCTGTACTTGAGGTTTGGCAGGCGGCCAGTTATGCTGGGATCCATGCTGGCCGTGAGCAGCGACCCCATCTCCTACCGTGCATACAAGATAACTGACGACCCTATACAGTTTATTGCCGGCCTCGCTGCCAGTTCGCGAGCGACGAGTTTCAACGGCCTCATGGCTGCCCGGATCGTCCACTGCCTGGGCGCCGGCGTATGTGAGGCCTTGCCAGTTCAGCTCGTCAACGACATATTCTTCCTCCACGAGCGCGGGATACAACTCGGTTACTACACATGTAAGTAATAGAAAATAACCCACCGTCTACACGGGACATCTTCGCTGACAAGTCATCCCGACAGTTGCATTATGCCTTGCCGCGCTAGCCGCTCTCCCGGCAGCCTATATGCTCCCTACCAAGTACTCGTGGCGGCTTTTCTTCTACGTCATCCTCGCATTCGCCGTCGCGCTATTCATTCTGGCCTTCTTCTTCGTCGAGGAGACGTCGTACGATCGCAGCAAGCATGTGGACGCCACACTGAGTGAGGATCAGGATTCGGGAAAGGCAACGTCTTCGGAAAAGCCCGAGGCGCTCAACGTCGAGCAAGGGCAGGCCGTGCCCGTCCGCAAGTCATTCCTCACCACCCTCAAGTTCTGGGGCCATAACGATCCATCGGTGCCACTCTTCACGCTGCTATGGCGGTCAATGACATACTTCCTCGTTCCCCAAGTCCTCTGGGTCATCACGTCCTTTGGCATCATCATCGGCCTGGGTGGTCTGTCGTTTAATTTCGTATTCCCAATCAAAATTACGGCACCTCCCTATAACTGGCCCGTTGTAAGTTCATGCTGTGATGGAGGACGATGCAAGACGTTACGCTGATCCCATGCACAGTCAAGCTCCGGCCTCCACTCCCTCGGAGGCGTGATAGGATTCCTCCTCGCCGTCCCCTTCACGCCCACATCAGACATGTTAGCCGCGTACCTGACGCGGCGCAACAACGGCATTCGTGAGGCGGAGATGCGACTCGGCGTCATGCTCCCCGCCATGATTGTCGGGCCCGTCGGCCTGGTCGTGTACGGCCTAACCGCCCAGTTGAATCTCCACTGGATAGGCTATTTCTTCGGTGCTGGCATGGCCTCGTGGTGCGGCTACTTCTACTACAGCTTCACCCTGGCCTACGCCGTGGACTCGTACAACAGCAACACATCGGAAATGCTCATGGCGATGAACGTCGGCAAGCAGCTCGTCAGCTTCGGTCTGGGCTTCAAGGTATTGGACTGGGTCATGGAGAGCAGCTACGCGGCTGTCATCTCTGCTGGTTTCGGCGGCATATTGCTGGCCAACAATCTCTTCCTCATCGTCTTCATGATTTGGGGGAAGAGGATTCGCCGATACATGTCGACATCGTGGCTCGCTCGACTGCATGGTCGAACCGCCAACGTCGGGTGAATCGCACTGCAGCATGAAAGGAGGCTTGTTGTACATTGTCCTCGCAAACGCCCGCACTCCCACTAGTAGCCACATTATTCACCTGCACTGAAGCATGCAACGCTGGCTTGTTCTCCCGAAGCTTAAACCTAATGCCCTCCTTAGCTAGGAGAGATAATGCATGTTTTTTATCTTGTTTTCTCTGTACATTATCATTTATAAGTAGGGCCAAAACAGACGGGTGGCGTCTCCAGCGCCGCGCCATGTCCTGCAAGTTTCTTACAGTAGGCCTGCATATCCTAAACCTGTGGTGAATGACGTCTATTAAACGTAAATGTAGCCTTAACTGTACGATACAGAGAGATATGATTGCGCGGCGGGCATAGATCCTGCAAGGATAACTCGTTCAAAGAGACCTGCAACTAACCAACTCACCTACATGATATCAAAGACCCCTTGGACAAACGCCCGATTCTGCATACCGAGCTGAAGGCGCCAGTCGCAAAGACGATCCTTACACATCAACATGTCGAAAGAAGATATTCAACTGCTCTTGTGTAGTGTCAAGGCTATAGACTCACAATATGGAAATACATAAACTCGCGTTGCTCAGTTTTACGACCATTCATCGTTGGTTCTGTATTCCTGTCACAGGTCGTACCCAAAGTATCAGCCACGGCCTACTGCGTAGATCGAATTCTTGCCGTGAGGGCTTCCCAGTCGCCTCAGATCACAGCCACGCGATAAGCACCCAGTGCCGTTGCGAGCCACCGCGGCGATGTCACCGAGCGAAGAGTCGGGAGATGCGAGCAGCATCAGCAGCAACAACACAATCAAACCGAAGAACAAGAACAACAGAACACCTCTCAAACTGCTCCCGCTGGCACGACCCAGTGCGGCACCATCGAATACATCACCACGAAGGAGAAGGAAGCGGGTCGGGGGGAAGCGCGCCGTCCGGAGCTGCACCGCATGTCGAGCTGCGCACGTCAGATGCGTGGCAGACCGATACGGCGTCCCGTGCGAGAGATGTGCAAAGAAATCCTGGCTGGACGTGAGTTGGCCCCTGCATTATATACCTAGTCACAGGAAAAAGATAGATGCCCAGGAGGATGATGCTCCATCAATTCGATCTCTATGTATCGACGACATCGGGAAGGCGGAATATACTGACATATCATGACAAGTGTACCCTAACGCAGAAACAACATGAGCACGTCGCCACCCTGGGGTGCGCGGCCTCTGAGGAAGTTCAAATCATGGGGCCCGGCTCGCCACAAAACGCCGCCCTCAAGCAAATCGCTTCGACTACACTGGCGGTCATGGCCGAAACAGTCACGATGTCGTCGCCTTAAGCTGCTGCTACTACAAGTATACTTTACCTTACAAGAGATACATACCTATTGTCAGCAGACAGCACTTGATGGAGGAGCCACACAACTTCATGCATTTAGTTGGCTTGGCGTAGGTGGCCTTCTGTTCGGCACTTCAACGATGGGAAGAATCACGGTTTAATAGACATGAAGCTTTTAGCCCCTAACCCCGTCCATCAGTAAGATCGCGAG